TATTTAGATGCACACTTTGTTATTTCAGAATAATGTCAGTTATTCTGGAGTAATGCTGCTGTGTTCACATAGCCTAAGAAACTTACACCATTACTGATGCCCTATAGTGCATGATCATATGGCTGAAAACATACAAATTGTCAGATTATACGAAGTATATTGAAGATGTTTCAGGACCTGATTGTTTTGTGCTGGAGCATGACAATTACTCGGTAAAAATTATCTTTCCCGATAATTACATGTCTAGTGGTATACTTCCAGAACTCAGTTTATTTTTTCAGAATTTTCCTTCCTGAGTTTTAAACATCTACAGACAGTAAAAGCCAAACATTTCTCAAAGCTGTAAAACTCGATCTAGAGCTCTGAACACAGACAACAGTTTTAAAATGAGCAAAATTATAGCTGAATTTTTACACTACCTCCAGTAGTGAAGGCATCTATTCCTTATAAAATTAAATTAAATAGCTCTGGTATCTCTTTCAAGGCAGTTCATATTAGTGATTCAAATACTAAGACTCCAACCTCTCAAATGTCCTGTATTTTGAAGGATGTCATTCAATTTTAGTTCCCAGGTTCTCTACATGGCACACAGTTTGCATCCTCTTCAATTTTAATGTTGAAAATTATTTTTCTTAGAATAATGGAAGTAAGATTACATAAAGAGCTATTAACACTAGGTCAGTGGTGCACAACCTGTGGGTCATGACCCCCTGTCTTCCTGGGGGTTGCAGCACCAGGCCAGCCACCATTTTGTTTTCCTGGCTCGGAGCCCGACATACGCACCGTGGGGGTGGAAGGTGTGTCAGGGGAGTAGACCGGCGCTTTAAATTAAAGGGGCCGTGACAAAATGTTCCCAGCTCTTCCCCCCCCCAACCAAAATTTTCCCAGCGAATTAAAAAAGATTGAGCACCACTGCGCTAGGTGAATGAATCCCTGAGTTGTAAGATCCCCCAGATGTACATTTTTGTGTGTGTCTAATTTTAAATTCTTTGTCACACACGGCATTCGAGCTGGGAAGTTGAGAGGCATGTTGATGTGATAGCCATGATCTAGGGTGACATACCATGGCTTGAACTGAGAGCATTCAAAGCTAATTGCATGAGTCTTCAGCACTCGAGATCAAATGCAGGCTACCAAGGCAAGATTAGAGGATTCTAATCTTCTGGGCAATCAGGCACAGTGAGGGATGCATAACATGCACTGAATAGTGAATTATGTAATTTTTTGGGACAGAGGAAGTCCATCTTGAGGATCTGAGTCCCACAGCAGAAATCCCAAAAGAGCATCTATGTGATGACCATCACATTGGTCAATACTAGGGATATAATAGTGTAGTCGAGTAACTGCTTAACCAATAAGCAAAAGCATATAGGTTAATGCTATAGACTACACGCATTCCACCCCTGCCCCAGTAAATTTTTAGCAGGCTGGCCAGCAGCCCCACTTAATCCTCGATCATGCCAGGTCTGGGACCTATCCCCGCTGTAGCTCTGCATTTAAACTGTATTAGGAGCCAGGCGGGCAGGCAGCCCAGCTCAGTTTCGGCTCACACTGGGTCTGGGAACTCAGCCCTACCTCTGGACAGGCAGCCGGTCTGCGAGGGGAGCTGGTTTTTAAACCAGCTCCCCTCTGGGACCAGCTCCCGGCTGGCACCCCTCACTGCTGCTTCTGATACAGTGATAGCAGTGTGGAGTGGCAGGGGACTCCTTCGGCGTGGGGCTGGAGCACACTGGCTGCCAGCCCCACTCCTGGGGAGTGCAGAATAGTCGAGTAACCAATAAGAATTCATAAGAATTAACCGATATTTAACATCCCTAGTCAATACCAGGGACTGAAGCAGGGATCTCTAGAGCTATTTTCTTAAATCCCTGCAGCTGGAACTATACAACTAGGCTCTCAAGCTAAGAGCTGTAATAGACCCATATCTTCTGTTGATTGGGCACAGAAAAGGGACACACAATACACACTGACCAGTTACACTGTGACTTTGGTTCAGTCAGTCATATTTATGCTATTTTATCTTAATAACCAACACCAGTAGTTAGAAGTACAGAAACACACAAATACATTAACAAAGAAAAACGATCACAATAAAGCGACACTGTTTTACTTTTTTCCCCCTACTCCTTAATACTCTGTTGGAACATTGGAAAAGAATCCCACTTACGTGGTTGTAATTTTTCTCTTGACAAACAGAAGTGGACCAGATCATCTATGTTCAATGGACTTTTATAATGGACAGTTTAAACCAGAAGAGAATCTGGCCATAATTAGATTTTTTTCATATGCATTTGTAATGCTGTTGATGTTAACATGATTTTTTTTGTTTGCTCATCAGAAGTTAGGCCAGCAGAACATGCACATCTACATCATACATTAATATTAACTATTACAAAAGTTTCTCTCTAGATTGTAGTGATTGGTTAGAAATCATAGAGCACATTAGAGCAGATTATCCTGCTTTTAAAAATCAAATATGGGGTCTATTCCATTTGAATGTGCCTCTAGCTCAGAGTCTCTTAAATGTCAGAAGACTTATCAAGTTAAAAAAAAAAAAGAAAGGCGAAAAAAGAGAGGGCAGACATCAGCTGTACAATCATAGCTAAAATAAACCACAGTTAATCAAAGTGTTTCAGAGACATCTGCAAGATCCCTTCCTGGGAGGCCTCAGCAGTATTCTTCAATTATAAAGAATCTCATAACTGGAGGTGTTCAGCACGCTGCTGGGTATGATTTATCCGGTTCTAATTTATTAGAATGTGTCTCCATATCACTTTTCTTATTTTAACAAAGAGGTCTTTAAACAAATAGAACTAAATGTAGATTTAATTTATTTCCTCCAGTAAAGAATCCTTGAGAAAAATCAATTCTCATTTACAAGGATATCCTGGCAGGTTGGAAGTCCCATTATTACACTATCGTACCTTTTACATCCAGGTTTATGTGACATATGGCATCATTTTTTCCTCTACAATTTCTGAAAACTATGTTTAAACAGCATTAAAGGTCTAACAAACTGACAAAAGTCAGGAAAATCAAAGTTAGTGCTGACAGCCTAACTCATTCTATTGTAGATGGAAAAAAGCAAAGCTAGTGGGTAAAGAGCAAAGTGTTACCAATAATCCAGAATTCCTTTGCTTTTGTCAATTCACATCAAACTCTATATGTTATTGAAACAATGAATGAGGCTCTTTCCTTTTAACTCTCAGAGTATTCAGTATCTGGGAAGTTAGGTCCAGTCTTGCATTCATCACCCAGATAAAAATCTCAAGAGAATTTAACAGGAGTTTTACCTACACGGGGACTATTCAGAAAAGCATCATTGTTTAAGAATATAGTTAAGCATATGCTTATGTCTCATTGAAGTTGGCAAAAATTTAAACATTTGTTTAAAGTTAAGCACATTTTCCTAAATCACAATCTAAGAGCTAGAGAATGGGGGCAGTGGGAGTGTCGTTAGAAACTCACTACTACAATTGGTACCATCAACCATGGAACCAAAGCGGTAGGTTTCTGTATTTCTGCAGCTATGTGATCAGCTAAGTATATTTTGTACCTTCCATTTCCCCACCTGCATTTTGTTCACTAATTCATTGCCACTGGCACTATTTCTGACTTTCTAAGCCTCTGAGCAACTTCCATTTCATTTAACCAAAAGAACATTTCACAAAAGGTATTTTTTCTCTCCTCCCATATGTTTAATATCCTAACCCAAAATTACACTGATCTAAGATACAGGACAGGTAATATTTAGTGTTGGGCCAATGATAGATTTAAAATCTGCTGTCTTGTGATCTACGAAGGCTAGACATTTGTGCTGCATTTCAGTAGGGAGATAGGAATCTCCACTTTCCACTGCCAACATTTTTTTTAAAAGGGTGTTTAAGGGGGTTTAATTTTATTCTAGTTTTTCTATCTATCTTTCTCAGGCCTGGTAGATGGTAACTAAGGCAACTTGGCTGTGCAGGTGTAGGGATATAAAAATAGTGCCAGTATATGCAAGTGCAACTTTAGGAAGAATTTAAAATAAACTCTACAATAAAACGAGGCATTGTAACACATTGCAACTCACCGCTGTGGTGCCTCCTGCTGGCCACTCTGGGTCAGTTCAGTCCAGCCCTGGAGTGCCCCCTTCCAGCTAGTATCTCCTCTTCTGTTACCTGTTTGTCTGTTCTCTACCACCTTGCATCAGGACCAGTATTCCTCCCAGGTTGTGGCATCCTTCCCTCCAGGTACTGTCCTGCTGCAGTTGCCCCACACTGTGGGGTCCTCCCCCTCAGGAAACCCCCAAGCTCCTACACCCACATCGTCCCAATGACCAGTCATATCTAGCCCCTGCCTCAGGGGAAACCTGTAATCTGAAATGGCCACTCATCATAGGTAAGGAGGTGCAGGGCTTGCTGCCTTCTCTTGCCCTGGCTGCTTTTCTATAGAACCTAATACCTCCCTAGATCCTCAGGATTTATTCAGGCCTGAGTTCTCCTGATTCAACCTTCCTTCTCCCAGCACTGCTCTGTCCTACCTAGCAAACAGCTAGGTCCCTCTCCCTCCAGAGCTGGAACAAAAGTGTTGTCCTCTCCTCCAGGAGCCTCTTCTTATAAGAACCTAACTGGGCTCTGATTGGCTGTCACTAGCCCACCTCTGATAGGCTCCTGGGACAGCCCTCACCTGGGCTGGTTTTATTCCTTCCCACTCCCCCGGAGTGAGAGTGGTCACCCCCCTACAAGCATAAATAGAATACATGCTGATAAGTGATGGTATACAAGATTGGTTAGCACTTATCTGGGATGACCTGCTTGTATTCAGGCGAGGAATCCCACACTTATGGTCCAGGCAGTGTCACTATAGTTGATCTCTTGACACACCTTTGTTACTGTAACTATGCTTCTGGCCTTTTACCTTGCACCACCAAGGTACCAAAAATTATGCCCTATAGATTAGAAAGAGAGGCAGGAAAGACAGTCTAAAACACTAAGTACATTCAGGGTCCAGTGCTGTACCTGCCTTCTTGTCCACTTTTTTTTGTAACTCTTGGACCAGGTTTAGTGAGTGTAATGGCCAGTGTCAGCCGGGGGGCACTCCAGAGCAGCAGTCAAGTGTGTGAGGTAGTCGGAGAGCCAACAGGTCAATCCATATCAGAGGCAGTCTGTGAGTGATGATCAGAGTTCTCACAAGGGTCTGTAGCCGGAAGAGCCAATCCAATTACATGAGCTGATAAGACAGGGCAGGTTACGCAACAGGACAAGGATACCCACCCTCATACTCTTTGATAGCTCTCTGAAGCCGCCCCAGCTATCGGCAGCAAGCAATGAGCTGTTGCTTGGACAGCTTCCTCTTCCTGTTGAGCCCTTTATAAAGTGCGGGTATCCAATGAGAGGCTGCCTGTCTATCCAATCAGAGGTCTGGGGCGTGGCTGCTGTGGGTCTGTAGCCTTTAGCACTGGGGGCAGCAGTGCAGGGACAGCAGCTCAGGAGACCTGCTTTTCTCCCCAAAGGGTGGCTGTGGTGCAGGATTGCCTATCCTGCATGTGGTGGAAAAGTGGGCAGCCTGACATTTGGAGAGTGGGCTACAATGCATTGCCTCCTTTGATACAGAGACCATTCTCTGGTTACAGGACTTGGATATTGCACTTTGATGCCTGCATTTGGAAAGAGAGAGAGACTTGAGTAACTCTTATTCAGCTCCCTTGCTTGTAAGAAAGGCAGCCAGGATCACTAACTCATGTCAGGCTTTCAGGATTTATTTGACCCTCAGCGCTGCCTGCAACCTCAATGGACTGGATGTAGCCATGCAGGGGCAGATGACCATTTTGCGGGGCCCAGGGCAGCACAATTTCGCGGGGCCCCTATATCTGTCCCTGAAGCCATGTTTCAGCCCTAAGGGCAGAGCATATGCAGTGTGACAAACGCAGGTGAATCTCTGCCTCCCATGTATATGCCCTGGATGGGCTCCAAGAAGCTGGGGAGAATTGGGGGAGAAAAGCCATTGAATGCAAGGGTCTCAGAATAACTGTTGGACAGATTTTACTGGAAAGCCCCACTCCAAGCCCCCAGGGTCCATCCCATTGACTTGCAAACAAAGGCCCTTTCTCCAGTCTTTGGGCAAATTAGAGAGTACAAATGTTAATAAAGCCATTCAAAACAACTCAGCTACATTTCTCAATCATGGTAAATTTCATTTCAGACCTATAGCAACTGTTGCCAAGAAAATATATTTGCATCTTCAGTCAACAGGCTGCAACCTTCCAATTGCAACAAAAATAAGGATCCAAATCTGCAATCCCTTATACGACTAGTTTTCTTCAGTAGGGCTGTTTGCATACTTTTTCAGGGTTGGGCTTAGCTTGACATAGGGCTACTTTTCCCTTGTTTTTATCTCCCTACTTTCCCCTTGTTTTAAATCTAAATTTGCATTATCTATTTTCACTGGCTTTTAAATGATTTTAAATAATTATTAGCTCTGCTGCCTCAGATGGTTTTTCATTTTAATGCTATTGTAAAGCAGTGATCTTGGTATGATAAAGCTCTAGAAAAGCTTGTTATTTTGGTTAGCAAATAAACCCAAGCATGGCGTGATTTTATTTAATTCTTCTGCTTCATATAATGCTCTGTTGAGAAAACCACTGCAGATGAGAAAAAATAGCTCTGTGAGGCATACTATTAAATATAAAAAATACCTGTGTATGTAATAAATAACAAGCAGCTGTGAATTAGGGGCTATAATTCCATCAAGATGTTCTGATGACATCATAAACCATGGGAGAGAAGTTCAAGCAGATTGTGTAATCAGCAGAACTCAGAGCAGGAATTATGGCCCAGTAATTTACAATTGGTCTGCTTTTTATTTTACATAATACACTGATATGAGTCCCTGGGGGGGCCTTGCCTCCTCCGGAGTCCTGGATTATGAAAATTCTCCCCACCCTCATACTCTTTGATAGCTCCCCAAAGCCTCCCCCAGTATAGACTGTTTCTACCTGCTTTCCACCAAACTCTCCAATTATTATTGCTACCATCCCAACACCCCCATTAAAAAATGCCAGCAGCTCTACAGCTGCCTACCCCCAGAAACATTCACTTTCTAAGGCTGCTTCTTCTCAACAGTACCCTACCTGGGCTACATTCTGCTGTCATTACACCAGTGAAGGCTTGAGGAATACCACTCAAGTCAATGGAACTACTCCAGCTATACATCTGTGTAACTAAAAAAGCAGACTCTGGCTCATTGCCTCCAAACCAATCTACCCCAGGCCTATGGTAGTTACCATTTTAGTGCCATTTTGACCCACCTCCTTTTCAATACAATCTTTCCTCTCCAGCATCAAATCCTTGACAGGCCTCAGACTGCTTGACTTTGACTGCTCATGGCTCTTCTTCAAACACTGCTGGAGAGTTCTTATAGGTGTGATTTTGTAATTAATGGAGTGCAACATCACACTGATGAATGTTGATTTGAGCATGTGCTATCACACTCTCGATTATGAGGGCTTTTTCCAGGACCTGTAACATGCACAGCAATGCAATCAAATCATAGTCCATCCATACACTAAATCCTACTTCACTCCTAGTTCCCAAAAACCTATTTTAGAGAACAATTAAGGTTGCAACCAATAGACAGAAAATTATGAGGACAAGGATGTCCATGAAACCTTAGCTTAGGTACTCAAGTCCCAGTGAAGCTTAGTGGGAACTAGGTGTAGAATTTCCTTAGGATTTGTTTACACGGTGACGCTCAGGAAAATTAATCCAAATTAATTAAAGGGGTGACTTTAATGTAGATTTGTTAAATTGCATTAAATCCTTGTATGGGCACACTCAATCAGAATTGAAGATGATTTAATTTGGGGTTATCTTAATTTATTTTAATTAACAACTAAAATGAATTAAAAATCCAATTCTTACCTGTGACTATTCATTCTAGGCTCTTCTATGGCAGACATTTTTCAAAGAGGGGCACTTCCCATTTCATGACAACTGGAGACAGACCAGATCTTTCTTTTTCGCCCGAGTTTAGGACTGGCCCTCAGCAAGAGCTCTTCAGATCAATAGCTTCCAATATTATCTATAAATGTACAATGGTACTATTCAATTCCAATCACTTGCAACAGAGCCTTGACATGAAATTTAGGGATTCCTCAGGAGAATACCCTCTTTCCATTCAAGCTACTTAACCAGCAAACAGTAGAAGAAAGAAAAAAAACAAACCTGTACATAATGCAGTCCTCTGAGTGAGGGTCAGAGTGGTTGACATGGCAGTATCCTGGAATTAAAATTCACAGGTAAGTCAGAATCTTCCTTTTCTCAGTTCTCTCCAGGTGACAAAATTTTCTTCACACTGGGATATAGAAAATAGTCTCATTCCTAGAGAGAGAGGATAATTCAGTTTACCCAAGTAGAAATGAAAGAGACACCCAATGGTTACTGGAGAACCTGTTCTGTAATACCTTTCTACCTAATGCTGCATCAGCAGGTTTGAGATTGTCAGTTTTATAGGGTTTGAGAATGTATGGAGGAAAGGCTCAGTAGCAGCCTTACAGACCTCCTCATAACATGCATGTGTTGTTGCTGCTAACAAAACCACTGGTCTTTTCATGTAGCATAAAGTGCTGCACCTAAGGTTTTGAATGCCTCTGCTACATGTTTCTGCATTTATTCCTTTGTAGACTCTATTTCCATAAGTGTCTCCTTCCTCCAATCCAAAGGGGCACAAGGCCACATTTTGTATGAGAAATATTGTTGTGGCCTTGGAGACCGAGGTCAGTTAAGTACACAGAACTACCACGTTTGACAGAATGTGTAACCAAAGTTTCATATAGAATATACCAAGTTCCAAATCTCCCTTTAGCAAGGTGGTGATGAGCAGACAAGCTACCCGCAGTGAAAAAAAGGATAAAAAGCTGACAACTTTGGTGGTGAAAAGTAACTTTTTTATTAGGACTTATGACCCACAGATCAAACTCAAGACATGTATCTGTGCAGGAGGCAATACAAGAGGTAGTCCTCAGGGGTCAGTTGTGTGCCAGTGAGTAGAGCTTTTGATGGGTTCTTATTGTGTAACATGCCTGCAGTTGCTGACTTGCCTTTCCAAACATTGATGGCCTTGAGCCCCATGGGTAGGTCATTCTTGTAAAAATACAACTTCAGCTGACTTTTCCTTATGTGTGTCTCCTGTATCACCAAAATCTAACCCTTGGGTGATACAGACCCCATCTGTGAATTTGTGATAAACACCCTTCAAAATGCTAAGAGGGTGTCTATCACCATCTTCGAATGTGTGATAGTAGTTCCCTCCTCTCAGCTCCCTAGCTGACACGTTAGGTGGCACTAGACACTGGTTCAGGATAAGTCCCTGTTTTACTATATTTTGTATGGGTATATTAGAAGCTTGAGAGAAAGTTCCAATTACATCTGAATAAAGTCTGAGAATCAAGGTACAATAAAACCTGTGTTATCCAGCATGCTCGGGGACTAGGGTGTTCCGGTTATCTAAAAATTCCAGTTATATGAGAGTACCATCAACCTAGGAAAAACCAATGGACAATAAGGGTACGTCTAGACTACAGGCTTTTGTTGACAGATGCTTTGTCCACAGATACTGTCGACAAAGCTTCTGTCAACAAAGAGTGTCTAGACTACATCCAGTTCTGTCAACAAAGCAAGCTGCTTTGTCAACATGAGAGTGTAGATGCAAAGGACAGTGTATATGCAATAACGCCTTCTATCGACAGAACTCTGTCAACAAAGGCATTATTCCTCGTAGAAGGAGGTTTACCACTGTCGACAAAACTGCCGAGTTCTGTCGACGTTATGTCGACAGAACTCAGCGGTAGTGTAGACGCAGGTATAGTTTTGTCAACAAAAGTCCACTTTTGTTGACAAAACCCTATAGTCTAGACACACCCTAACAGTAAAACTCAAGTTTTTAATATTGGTAGTTTTGTAGTGTGAGGCAGTTGGTCTCATATTTCTATTCTGAGTTAAAGATGATTAGTACTTCTTAAATAAAAATTTGTTAAGCCAATCATGGTAAACCAAGCCAGGCCTGTGCACCTGAAGATGTGACAGTATTGTAGCTGGGGTAATGCTGGTTAACAAAGTTTTCTGGTTAACAGAGTGCCGGATAACAAAGGTTTCACTACAGATTGAAAGTCTTCAGATATTCTGTACATCTCCTTGAAGAAAATAGCCACTTTATGACCTCCTGTGGGACTCCTAGGGTACGTCTAGACTACCGCGTTTTGTCGACGGAAGTTTTGTCGACAGATACTGTCGACAAAACTTCCGTTGACAAAGAGCGTCCAGACACATTGAGTTCTGTTGACAAAGCAAGCTGCTTTGTCAACAGAACTCCGTAGTCGGGACGCAGTGTTACAGGCAATAACACCTTCTGTTGACAGAGTTCTGTCGACAGAAGGTGTTATGCCTCGTAAAATGAGGTATACCAGCGTCGACAAAACTGCTGAGTTCTGTCAACGTTATGTCGACAGAACTCAGCGGTAGTGTAGACGCAGGTATAGTTTTGTCAACAAAAGTCCACTTTTGTTGACAAAACCCTATAGTCAGGGGAGATGAGGTAGAGCCATCTCCCATCAAGGAGATGGAGCTGAAGCACTTCACCCCATGCTGACTGCTATGGGGGTCTCAGCTAAGTGGAGATCAATCACAGAAGAAGGAGTGAACCAGACCCAGTGGAGCCAAATGATTCACTGGTATCAGCAATCTTGTAGGAGCTGGCACCTGTTGTGACAGGTAAGGTTTTGCGGATAGAACAACTTCTGGGAAAATGAAAAGAAGCCTCTTAACCATGTCAGACCAGGCCTGGTCTGCATACTGGCTGGGAGCAGGAATTCCTTCCTCAGTTGCTATGGGACAATCTTGCTTTCACCTAATATCAGAGCAAAAACCTTTCCTGATTCTTCCACAATCTGTGGGAATTGGGGTTCCGTGCCTAGAAGAAAGCTGGGGGGACAGGTTTTGGAAAACTTCTCTTCAGTCCCATGCCACTGATTCTGGCCTGGTTTTGCTTAACTACACCAATCTGAACCTTGCACACACAACAGCTGGTTTCGTTATGTCCTGCTCAACAGGGCCAGCATGGACAGTGCTCACTGTCACACACATAGCCCTCAGCAAAGCACCCCCTGCTGGACACTCACCAGGCTGCTATATTGGGTCCCAAGCTACTGGACCCACATGCTTTAAACTTCGCTGGGTCTTAGCAAGCTGCAGTATGCATCTTGACTCCCGGCCTTATTCGCTTCACATCATCCAGTTTACATACTGAATAAATGAAGCCAAAGCTTTGGGCAAGCCAAGGTTTAGTGATGGTTGCAGGGGTGTAAACTTAAACATGTTAAAACTACTTCAGGGAACAACTGTGGGGAAAGCAGGTTTCCTGATTCGTATATAGCGAAGACAGGACTTTACAGGCTAATTCAGTGTTGTCAATGCTTATGATTTAACACAATATTGAATGCTTTTCTTAAATCCCTGGCTCCTGGAATCTTATTGCACGAGAACTTCATTTTCTACGGATGTGCAAGTTTCTACGGATGTGCAGAAAATGTTGAAAATATGGATCTTAAAGGTTCACATGCCAGAAGGCTAAAGCCTGGGGTCTGAGTCTGCTACAAGACAGTATTGGCTGAGGTGAGACAAGGAGGAAGCTGCTTCAGTGGGAAGTGCAGCTGTCTCTCTGCTCACTCATGGGAATGATGCTTGTGATCCATTGTAAAAATGCCAGCGTATACGTTCTTATAAGAACTGCTTTATTTATTTGCTGCAGCTAAGTGATGGATACTTACAAAACTAAGTCCTGTTGAGTCTGTAACAATCGCCATTGGAGTTAATGGGTAGTGACCCGGCTGTGTGAGATGGGGCATTAAACTTTTATCCCGGCCCATATCTGGTGATTAGGGCCAGGGAATAAAGAGCAGTCTGTTGCTCCTTCCTTCATAAGAAAGCCCTGTCTCAAGCAGCTCTGGATTGCAATGGGGGAAGGCAAAATGTACTATCCCCCATACAAGATCACCAGACTAAGAGTCAATTCCAGCCAACCATTAACTCCACAAGAATCAATGAAAAACTACAGGCCGCCAAGCTGTATCTATATAAGATCAGACTTTCTTTAGCACTTGTCCTATATATAGACACACACTGTTAATTTCACACCGAAAACTGTTATCACCTCTCAAGCAGCACATCAGAAGTGCCAAGACAGTGACCACCATCTCTGTCTTCATCCTTCCCTCCCCCATCTCCAGCTCTTACAGAAAAAAGCAACAACTAGTCTACAGCAGAAAGCCACATTGATGACATTTTTAGTCACTGTGGACCCGGCTGCTTTTGTTTATTTCATCTTCATAGTCTTACATCAAATTCCAAATAAAAACCTTAAAAGGACTAATATGCACCAAAGGCAGAAACAAAAAAGGAAAACAAAAAAGGTCCTAGGAAAGAATATATATATTCTCTCTAAATTCCCTGTCTCCATCACATGCAGGTTAGCTTTGATATCTTAAATTAAATTCTTTATGGAACAGTTTTTAATCAAATCATTTTTAAGGAAATATAATACTTTTGAGGAGAGCATGTGCAATATTCTAATATGAGCCTATATAAGAACGGGAAGAAAAGGAAGAGCTGTATTTGTGTATCTGTATGGAAAGAATAAACAATGGGAAGACAGAGCATAAGGGATTGGGATATAGACAGCCTTATCAAGCAGCTGCTGCTGGGAAGAGGTCTGCTTGCCAGGGAGAGGAGTCACTGGGCCGGAATTGGAGGAAAAGCAAGGGCAAGGTTCTATAAACCAGAGCAAGGGTCAGAGTCGAGCCAGGTTTGGAGCCCGGAGATCAGTGGTAACACCAAGTTAGAATCAAGAGGCAGGAATCAGGGCTGAAGAAAGGCTGGAAGGAGTCAGAGACCAGAGGTCAGGAAATGAGGCAAAGTATAGTAACTGGGGTGCCAGATTTCTAATGGCACAAAACCGAACGCCCCTAACAATCACTTCCCTGTGGCCCCTTCTTTGAGGTCCAAGCCCCTGCTTGCTCCCTCCACTGCTTGTTCTCCTCCACTCCCACTTACTTTCAACCAGCTGGGACATGGGGTGGGAGTGCAGGGCGTGTGTGGGCTCCAGGTAGGGCCAGAAATGAGGGATTTGGGGTGTGGGAGAGGGTTCCAGACTGCAAGAGGGTGTGCATGGGTCTGGCTTGGGGTTCAGGCTCTGGGGTGGGGTTGGGAGAGAAGGGTTTGGAGTGTAAAAGGGGCTCCAGGTTGGGGCAGGGTTGGGATGCAGGGGGGCTGAGGGCTTTGGCTTGAGGGAATGAGGGAAAGAAGGTTTGGAGCGCAAGAGGGGGCTCTGGGCTGGGATTGGAATGAGAAGGGGCATGGGCTCTG